ACCCTAAACCCTAAATCCGAAACTTTGACCCTCCAAGTAAACCCCATTCAAGCCATCCAAGCCAGGAGGCCGGTAAACGGTAGGTCATCCACATCGAAAACTCCAAACCTTTGGAAGCCTCAACGTCTGAACCTGAAAAGCTAGGTCCCCAAGCACTGCATTTATCAACCCTAAATTCCTAAATTCCTTATAAACCCTGCGGTCTATAATCCCTGAACCATAAACCCTAAACCCTATAAACCTTGAACCCTAAACCCTATAAACCCTAAACTCAAAAGTGTGAGGTGCAGGCTCGGACCGCACCTCATTGCTGCGATGGTCCTCGCAGACCAATGCTCAGTTGGGACCGGCTGAAAACAGGAGTTCAACAAGTTAATAAGTATGTATGGTAGTTTCCCAAAATAGGGGGACCCCAATATAGACACCAAAACAGTATAACCCTTCATATAGAGATTAGGGGCCCCAAGAAACTCGAATGAAGAAATACATGGAACATAACATGACATGGACACTTGGGGTTATATGAAGTTATATGGGGTGTATAGAGGGTATGAAGTGTAGAAGCCTTCCCATTTGCCTCAAAATAGTAGACTGTACCTCTTGGGAACCCATGGTGTATGCCTTTTGCAAAGGGATGACAGGGAGAACCCACAAAAGCCTTAACCCTAAACCCAAATTTGGGAATCAGAGATAGGTTCCTGTGGACATCGTAGGGATATGGCAAGGGCAACTCACAACCCTTAATTTCTACGAAGCCCTAAGCCCTAAACAGCGATTGCGGCCAGAGATTCCCAATGTCCACAATCTCAACATCCTGGTTCACAGAAATTCCCAATCATGTTGCAACGGTAAGCCCATACAACTGGCCATGGCTATAGATCCTCTATATAGCCTCAAAACTTGGTACCCCAAATCCTAAACCCTCAACCCTACACCTAACCTAAACCCTAACTCCTAAACCCTAAATCCTACACTGCGTGGCTCGCCGTACTCCTCTCTACCTAACAATTTCGAAAGCTGATCACGAGCCTTGCACTGCCTGGGGTTGAGTGTTTAGGGTTTAGTGTTTAGGGTTTAGGGTTTAGGGGCTTGGGATTGAAAGAAGTTCTGCAACTTGCATTTGCTGTCTGTTACCCGCTGGAATCCAGGTACGCGTATTATCGCATGACGCAAAACCTGTCCATGTAGTCATAACGTATTTACCTAGACTCCAACATAGTTATGTGTCTTGGACCCTAAGTATTATATATATATATGCATGGACCCTTCGGGTAGGCTATATAGTAGGGCATATACTTGCTGCCAAAGGTTCCTGTACAGGTGTTTCAGGGCTCAAATGTGTTGTAGACCAGGTTACATAGGTACTCGGACCTTTTGGTATCATGCTGTGACTCTTGCGCAATGGATCGTCCTGATCGAAGTGACCTGTTAACCCGAAACCCTAATTCCTAAATGGGGCTTATATAGGCGATTATATACGGGACTACTATAAAGGTTATTAAGAGGGATACATGGAGTTTTTTTATTGTAGCTCTAATTGTCAAGTGCCCCCGCAGGGCCGTTTCTGCTAGCTGACACTTTTCTGTTGCATTTATGACTTAGTGGATGGGTGGGGCTATCCCCAGTACAGTCCCTAGGGTTTAGGGTTTAGGGTTCAGGTCTAGGGTACCCTAAACCCATAAAAAAAAGTATCCCTAGCTTGGGTACCCCTGATTCAGAAGCCATATTCTTCAGGGTGGGAATTGGCCACGAACTCATACGTCCGACCTTGTTTATACCTACTGTCCTTGCTATGTTCCCTTGGTTGAGTTTGTAGCGGTTTATGCGGTATGTAGTAGGCATATAAGGACCCCAGGATTAAGGGCCCAGAGTAGGGTCCCATAGTTCCTAAACCCGAAACCTTAAACCCTGTCGTAGGCATAGAAAGTCCCCAGGATTAAGGACCCATAGTAGGACCCATATGTCCGAACCCCTGAACCCTAAACCTCGAACCCTAAACCTTGAACCCGAAACCCCCCCCAAACCCAGAAGGGGTGCCTTTTCCCAGCAGCTAAAAGGCGCCCCTAATCTTTGGACGCCACGGATGAGGGTTAAGGGTTTAGAGATGCCCACTTGCTGTATGACATCTTTTCAGAAAACATCCTCCCGGCCTGCTTAAAGGTTTAGGGTTTAGGAGTTATAGGGTTTAGGGTTGGCGGTTTAGGGTCTAGGGTTTGGGGCACTGGACGAGCCTGAGTCCTGAACACGAACCTCCTTGCAAGCACTAAGCCAACTGAAGACGCGCAACTCGCAGCTCCAACAGCCCCCAAGCCTAGAGGATCCTAAGGGTTTGGGGTTAGGGCTTAGGGTGTAGGGTTTTGGGGGATATTAACCCAAACCTTCTTACTAATTCCTAGAATAGAAACCTTACTCTACACCATGTAGGTACTTGGGATGCTTTGGGCAAAGCCTAACTAGACCTCTGAAATGGTAGAATTGCTTAATTGTGGGCCCCAATATAGACTCCCCAAACTATAATCCTTATGATGGGGACCTCCCAAGAAAGGTACCCCTAATTTTGGGAAACCCATAAGAATGGCCTGTATACTCAGCATTTTGGGGTTGAAGGCTATCAGAAATGAGAACTTAGGAGTCTAGGTAAACGTGACACTCGGTCCTGGCAGGGAAAAACTCGAGCAAGAGTTGCTCAGACAGCAGGAGAACATGAGTTTCGTGGTTAAGGGTTCAGAGCTTATAGGGCTCAGGGACTTTCCCACAGGGTCCATGCAGGCATTCATAGGATTTAGGGTCTGTGTAGGCAAAAACATACAAAAGGGATTCTCATATAAGTGCTCTGGGTGAGGTGGTTACTTCGGGGCCCAAGTATAAACTGAATTGCTTCCGACCTTCGGAGTAGGTGCCTCTAAGCCCGAAGCGGTCATGGGCGGGCAGTTGCCTGTGACAGGGCTCCCTGCAGCCCTAAACCCTTAAACCTAGATCCTAACCCTGTACCAGCACCCTCTTTGTACCCTTAAATAGGAGTATATGGTCCCTTATTTAGGGTACATAGAGTAATAAAAAGGGTACTTGCAGGGTCTAGGCTAAACCCTAAACCCTAAGCAACTGGCCCAAGGCATGAGGGATCTGCTTTCCAAAGGATCCTGAGTACCTGTATGGTCTATAGTATAGGATTTAGGATAGAGCGTTTAGGGTATAGGATTTAGGGTTTAGGGTTTCGGATTCAGGGTTTAGGGCTTAGGATTTAGGATTTTGGGTTTTGGATACAGGGTGCAGAGTTTATGATTTGGGGTTTAGGATTTGGGGTTTAGGGATTGTCCCAAAGGGTCCTGTTTGAGCCATAGTCTTAACTCCTTAATTACGGGGGGATATATGGGAGATTATATAGGGGAGTATTATAGTGTTCTTATAAGGGGGATACTAGGAATGTATATTATAGCTCATATCATGTAAAGTCGGATTCCTATATTAGGAATTAATAGTATGGTTTGGGTTAGTACCCCCGATATAGGTTCCTTTGATCCTTCCGGGCTTAAATAAGGAATATGTACATCGTACTTCGGCGGTACAGGTGTACAGGGAGTTTTCAGTGTTACTACGGCGCTTCGCGCATCAGGACTGAGAGGGGGCCATGTAAGCCTTCACGGGTTCATGTAGGGCTTAGTTAGGGCTTAGTGTACAGGGCTCTTAGAGCCTTGCTCCACTTCAGGCGCCGGAATGCACTGTGCAGGGCCTTCAGGTGTGGGACCCACCAAAATTTAAGGGTTATGTTCCAGACTTTCAGAGCCAGAGTACGTTATTCCTCAAAAGGAGCCTGATGTTCGAGACCCTAAACTCATGGGTTCAACTAGTATCCCCCCTCTATACTACCCCCCCTAGGTTCCCCCTTAATTAACCTTAATGAAGCCCAATTATCCCTAAATAACCTTAATTAAGGGGGGAACCTAGGGGGGGGAGTATAGAGGGGGGTACTAATTGAACCCGTACTAAACCCTAAACCCGATAAGGTCCCTGCCTTGCCCTCACCTCATCCCATTTGACTCCCTGCTTCATACCCCGATCCTAAGACATGGGGGGTTTCCCAAAATTAGGGGTACCTTTAAAAGGGGGTTACAGTATACAGGGTTATATAGGGGTTTTAGGGGGTTTTAGGGTTTAGGAACATTATAAAGGACTCTAGTACATAGGGGTTTAGAAGGGTCCCCTACCCTAAGGGTCCAAGTACCCAATAATCATATACTTACCCAAAACGTGTACTATAATTACTATTACCCTAAACCCAAGTACCTAATTATTGGGTACTGGGAAAGTACCATATCTTCCTTGCAAGCCACCCCCACAATTCGCACGACGTCGCTCTTTGGCTTTCAGGGTCCCGGGGCTGAATGTGTCAGATACCTGTCTAGTCTTCCTTGCAGTTACACTCCCCCCAAACTAACATGGAAACCCTTATAGTGCCCGTTCAGAGAGACTGTAGTCTTTATAGGGCCCTTTTTGGGTTTCCATGTTAGTTTCCGGGAGTGTACGTGTTTTGTTGATATCTGCATCTCCCTGCTTCATATCTATGGGTATTATGTATGTGTACATACACGTATGTAACATCAAAGAGCTGCATTTCTCACAACCCGTCGTGAGTCTTGTTTGAGCCCTCAAAAATCCGTAGGGTCCGTATGTCTTGAAGTGTATGCTAGTCCAATTTCAATACACCGCACAGCCCTTGTATGCATCGAGTAGAACCCTCCACACACCTTGCCCCCCAGTATGCGTCACAGGAGAAGGACAGGGCCATATCTGAGCTGCAATCCGAGGCTCGCCGTCGGAAGTTTACAGTTTGGAGAGTCTGTTTGCTGGCTTGCTGCTCAGGAGCTTAAACTAAGTTACCATCATAATGCATACATACTTATTATATATATATCGTAGCTGATATGGTTTCCCCAATATAGTAACTTGTTCCTTAAATCCCTACTTTCCCCAGTTTCCATGTCATTTCCCATTTTCTTTTCCATTTCATTCTCCATTATAGGGGGACATTCTACCCTAAGCCCTAAACCTTAAGCAACCCAGTTTGGGGCGGTGTGGAGTTCAGGCTGTTTAGATATCTGTGCGGAGGGTCTAGATGAGATGCGGATCGGACCTTGGACCCTCCAGTTCACACTACTCAGCGCCATATGGGGGTTTAGGGTTTACGGTTTAGGGCGTAAGGTTTAGGGCTTAGGCTTTAGGGCTTAGGGTTTAGGGTGTAGGACTTAAAGTGCTCTCCAGTTCACCACTACCATCAGGGTAATATTTGGGCTATAGGGATGTTATCCCCCAATAATGGAGAATCAACTCGACAAGAAAATGGAAAATGACATG